GTAGATACATAAATGGTGCAGTCTATATTAAGATTCATATGCAAAATAAGAACATGCCACTATGGAAGCATTATCCCTATTGAAATGTAGAGGTACAATTGGTTTTAAAAATATTGAAATAATTAAATTTTTGCAAAGACATCAGTTTTTAGAAATTAACTATTTTTCAACAATTGAATGAAGCCCTAAACCTAAAAACAAAGTATAATATTGCATCATTTTTTTAGTATTTCAGAACCTACCGGAGAGATTCAGCCATTCGTCTCAAGTCTTCATTCTGCTGCTTTAAACGTTCCAGCTTTGCCAGAATCTTAGACAGTTCTCGACTAGAGTGATCAGGGTGGTCATTATCTCGAACCAAGTGACCACCTATATAAAATAGCAAGGTCCCCCAGGCAAAAAGAATGAGCATAATCCAACGCCAGGAACCAGTCCATGGCCGCATTTTCAGATTTTCAACTCACTCTCCTAGCTTCCTGGAGCTCAAAGAATTGAAAACATCATAACTGTTTCTAGATAGTACACAGATGAAAAAACTTCGGATGTTTCAATACATGATGCTTCAGAACAATTAGTCTCTCTGGTAGTCCTGTGATGAATCTTTCAAAGAGATCCTTCTGGTGATTGAATAGGAAGCTTCATGGACTCTTATGTGCTGCAAGAAGAATAAGAAATATAAATTATTTAAGATATGTAAAATACCATATACCGAGATTAATGCAGGTAAAGGAAACACATTGGTGTTGACTAATAGGCTGGAAGACAATCTAACTGCCTTATTATAATTAGTAAAAAGTAAAAGTTTTAAATCTGCATACCACATATATTAGGGCTCTACCGGTTAACAGATTAATCAGCTCTAAGCCTAAAGGTCTTTTAAGTGATATCATCACTTTTCTTTCTTACATTATTATGCAATATCTCTCATATGAAGATTAAAATACTGTGTCTTTCAGTAATCAGTCAAAAATAAAATGTACTCAACTGCATAGTTTGGGCTCATGTGCTCATTATATTGGGAAATAAAGTTCTCTGTATTAGTGAATTCATTCCTACAAATTTTCAAATACATATTACTGCTCAGCTGCCATTTTACCACTTAACTCTGCAAATGAAAAACACTTTGCTTTTAGGATAAATTCTAAAAATGATATGCATACTAGAGAAGCAAAGATTATCACAGCCATTAACAAGTTGACCTTCACTCCAAGCATCACAAGCAAAGGCCCAAATGGATCAAGCTAGACTAGCCCCTGCTCAAATTTTTTAAAAATACTAACAATTACAACAGAAGTCTACCACCAGTTAAATCTTTAGATAGTGTGTAGATTTTAAACCTCAAATGAATATGCTTTCCCAGGCTTAGTTACAGGTTGTCATTTTTTCTATCATTACATTTATTGCAAACATTATTTTCTCCCTAAAGGACTTGTAGGCAAAAATATAAAACCATTTGACAGTACCAGAGCTTTGGGAGATAAACCATATGTATAGGTACAGAGTTGCAAGAGACAGAGACAGAGAAAGAGGAGGATCAGAAATAGTTTCTGTACACAAGATTGAATTTGAGGAGCACATGGTCATGTACTAAATAGTTATGAAAGATTAAATAGAAAAGTTGGAGGAAAGACTTCAAAAACCAGAATACTGGGCCATTATTTTTCTATTTCTGAACCTCAATTTCAATTGTTTTAAAATGATTGAGTATTCACAGGGAACACAATCTATTCAAATGAGTGTCCTGGAAACACTACTTCTTTTCCATGTATTCTATACTATTGACCTTGATGTTACTGGTTTACAATGGCTAAGACACAAAATAAAAACTGTACTCACCGAGAACCATTTGAAAACCAAATAAAAAAACAATATTCAGACTGGGGATGCAGCTCAGTGGCACCGCACCTGCCTGGCAAATGCAAGGTACTGAGTTCAATCCCCAGTACCACGGGGAAAACAAAGGCAATACACAAATGAAAATTTAATGTTTACTCCCATAATAACTATTTTTAACTATCAATAATTCTTTTTGTTGACTCCATGGTTCACCTTGTTCTTTTTTCAAAACTCTTTCTCAAAATTCTGTCCCTCTAATCTTAGCTATCTTCTTCTATTTAACAAAACAGGAGAATAATTAAGTCTATTTAACAATTCAGGTGAAAGACCTCATCATGTGAAATCTACTTTTCATCTTACGTAGAAGCAATGCAGATATTCATATTATTAAAAAATAAATTAAAAATGAATCTACTGTGATGAGCTACAGGATAGATTTAATTTAGTAAGTCAACAAGAAAGTCAGCATTAATATTTGAATTAATACTTTTTTGTGACAACATACGTAACACTGAAAAATGCTATTATACTAACTATATTGCTGACACTATAATATATCCTAGTTAATTCCAAGCTATTAAAATATATAAAGTATTAAAAATTTACCTTTCCCTTCACAGCAAAAGTAGCTTAGGAAGACAACTATGATAAAGAGATAACTTTCTAAAATAGAGTAATTTAAATAGAAAATAAGGTGTGCTGAAACATATTAAATGGAATTATAACAGAAATTATGACAAATATAGTATTTAAAGCTAGGAAAAAATATAACTTGAATATTAACAAATGTTTACAGAACAGAGACTGTCATTCAAAGTATGTAAGATTTTAATAAAACACCACTAAAAACATTTAAGATATTAAGTCACTACATTATACTACATTATATAGCAGAATTGAAATGAGTTGTGAAAAGTAAGAAATTATTGGAGGAAGTAAACATGGTCATTTTCTTAATTAATAGCATCATTTTTACTCACTTTGGGAAAAAATGTTTCCCAGGATTTTACTGTTCTTAGCTAATATTTAGAAATGAAATCAACAAAACCAAGCCAAGCTGATGAGTCATTGTCTATGCAGTTTTTCTTAATACAGTTTAAAAGAGCCAGTGTAGAATTTTTTCCCTATTAACTACAGTGAATACCTGCTTACTTACCATGTTTACTATTATTAGAACCATGTTTAAAATATGCTAAAATATAAATGCCATAATTTTTGTCACTGACATAACTCAAGCAGTTAAAACAGTAGTTGGCACTTAGTGGGCAATGAATACTTTTGAATAAACAAATAACTGTCACACATGACATACCGAGTATGACATATGTCATGGAATCTGAGGATATCAGCCTCAACTGCATTTATCCCCCCCTGTAAGACAGCACATATGAAAACAGAAAGCGAAAGACAACTAAAAAAAATGGTTCAAAAATAAAATCATTTATCAGTTTAAGATAAACCACTTTAGGATTTATTACTGGCAACATATATCTTATAGTTTAGACCAGTTAACTGTTCTAAAAAGTTGTAAGACTAGCAGTGTTATGATTTGTCTTTTAACCATGAGAAAATAATTCTTTTCAGTTTGTCTTCTCTGGAAGATTCATTTTCCAAACACAATGGGGTGACTAAAAACAGCATGAGACATGAAAACTCCTCTACCTATTTGAGTAACTATTAAGGAAAATACTTCAAATTTATTAGTAAAAATATTTTAATTACGTATACATATGCATTATCATGAGCTAATATCTGGCCAAAAGTTATCTGGCAGTGTTTATTGATGTTTCTTCTCAGAAGAGACTGTTTCTTTTCAAGTACTTAAGAATTTATTCCTGTTTGGGATTTACATAATACCCTTCTTCCACATAATAGATTAAAGTTTGTCAGGTTTTCTTCTGCAAATGTTTTTAGTAATGTCTGTTTTTAAAGTTACTAAAATATTTAAATGAGTCATTTCTTTTAATATTTAGAAAGGCTGGATTATTTTTGTTTAATGTCTCTGGAACAATAAATATACTATATGTAATTTTTAAAAGTACATTCCTAAATTTGGATGCTACAGTATAGTATCAGTATTATCAGAAGCTTTGACAGAGTTGCTATAAGGTTAAAATGAGGTTAATATATATAAAGTCTTCCATAATGTTAGGCACATTCAGAGTACTCAATAAAAGTTAATCTTATTTTAATGCTGACAAGCTATGAGAAGCATTTATGCAACATATAGCAGCTTATTATGCAGTATACTTACTTACACTACTTTATTGATCCAACTGTAATTATTTATACAATTAAAATAGCAAAGTTTTTGTAGGAAGCTTCTAAAATATCTGTCAATGATCTCTGCATCCAATATTCATGTTCCTGTCCAACCAAACCAAGGTGAGGTCCTGACTTCAGTTCATGTTATTTTTTGGCCCCAACAAGTTGTACAAATGGGGGCACAGAGTAGGAATTCAAGATTCACTACAAAACTGAATCTTAGTTACATTTCTTTATCTACCATTCTGGTAATACCTCTAATAGTATAATAACGAACATTTACAGCAAGTAAAAGATTTAAGAGAATCTAATTACTGATTTTATACTATACCAGAAGTCTACAGGTATTTTATTAATATTTCCTAAACAGTTATACCTGCAACCATGACATCATAACTGGATTAGCCTCGTAAATAAAACCTTAAAAACGTATTTTGAGGGGCTGGTTATACAGTTTAGTAGTCTAACACTAGCATGCATAAGGTTCTAGGTTCAACCCCCACCATCAGCAAAAGGACAAAAAAATATTTAAAAACTGTACATTTAGAAAAACTATTTTCAGATATGGAGCAATGATGAGACAAGGTTGCAGTGCCTGAAAGAAGATTAACAATAAAGCCAATCCCTACGACCACTCCAGTCTTCTGCCTAGAGGAATTTACTGGACATCAGCACAGAAAGAATAATTTAGCAAAGCACAGTCATCTTCCTAAAATGAGAAGACAGAGACCAAAGTTTAGGCAGTTTAAGGTAGATGAAATGAGCTAGTCAGTATATTATAGATGAGGTAGCTGCCCAGACAAGGAGCTCAGAAACCTGCACAGGAGATCCTTTGAGTCTTTGCCTGTATACTAAGCTATACATGCATACTAAGCTCTACATGCATACTAAGATATCACAAAGTCTGGCAACAGAACAATTATTAAGGGGAAAAAAAATATAGACAGCTGAAAGCTGAACATCTCTCAGAGATTGTGCAAAGTTGGGAGAGCTATGAATCCCAACCAAGTACAATGAAATCGCCACATAGAAAAATGAGCATTCACCAAAAAGCCAAGAAATAAAACATCTTTGAAGTCAGAGTTACACAAACAGGGATCAGAAAAGGTTTCCTATACACAGTAAAACAGCAAACATCTTAAGCTATGTCAAACAAATACAGTGTCTGTCACATATACTTCTTAGTTTCTACTGTTAGGTTGTGGACCACATTTGGTCCATAAACCAAAGTTTACTAGCTTTAGCCACTGACTAAAGGCATTGCTAACAGAAGGCCTAACAAATCTTAAAAAGATAAAAAAGGATTAACATGATTCAAAAGTGACTCAAAATAATTGCCAATAACTATCAAAATAAAATGCACTACATTTCACAGATTAACAAGATATTGACAATTAACAATAAAAGTTCATAATGTTCAGTGACTAATTAAAAATTACAAAGAATACAGACCTCCAAGAACCTGCTAAAGGCTAAGGATGACTTAGAACACTAAAAAAAATATCCCAGTTCTCTCTGCTGCTACCTCACACCAAGAATGAGGTAGCAGCAGGG